ATTCATATTTTCAAACAAAAAAATTCCAGCAAAACACGTTATTTTTTTCAGATAAAGTTTCTGTGATTCTCTAGAGATACTATGAGTCCTATTACTTGAAGCACAAAAAATTCTCAGGGAGAACCTGGCAAAATTGATGGCTTTTGGTGCCTTCCACTGCCATTTATACTTGATAAAGTAGTAGAAAGCAACTTTCTCTAGCCTGTGGAGAAGTTCTGATGACCATAGGGAAACCCCTTTTAACACCACAAAACCACAATTGACTACCTTAAAGCCACTTATTTTCAAGTAGACAAATTTTTGCGATTTGTTAATGGTATTGATTTAACGTGTACTAATTTTTGCGATTTGGCTCATTTTTTCAATTAATAACTATTAATAAACGTAAATTATTAATAAATGCGAGTACTATTTTTTTGCGATTTTAAAGCCACTCGCAAAAAAACACAAAAATTAGTACTCGCAAATAATAATGGCCTTAAGGTACATAGTCCTCACCCACACTAATCGCTAGCAAGGCCATTAATAGTAGTAGTAGTAATAATAATAATAATAACATTAATTCACCTAATATGTCTACAAACTGTGATGCCTTCTGTCCATACTGAGGGATGAGGGGCCACAGCTTCCACAGCAACTGAACCAAATGAACCTGCTTGTCTGAAGGAACATACCTAAAAAATACATAATAAATAATAATTAATAATTTCATCATATATAAATACATAATAGAATATACAAGTTAACATGTACATGTACATAAATCCATGATGTAATTACAAAATCACAGATGTAAAATTCAATACCATCATTGTATACATGTACATGCATAAAAATACATTATGCATGTAATTAATGTTATGATGTAAATATTACACTCATGAATTAATGATCTTGTACATGTACATGCATACAGTGATAATAATAATAATAATAATAAATAATTAAGTATTCCACCCACACACTATATTAAAAACTCACTTATAGAGTGTGTGTATGAGTGAGTGTGTCTGCCAGCGTATATTCGACTGGTTGCTTTGTAGCAAATAACGAGTGACAAATTGTTCAAATCTTTCATCATCGATACATTCCATCATCAGTTGACAAATGCTCCTACACAACTCAAGGTTTACTGTTCCACTGGGAGCAGCTACTGGAGGCTTAGAGGCTGGTTTAGTGTCCTTCCTTTTAGCCTTGTCTTTAGAGCCAGGCTTTGTAGTTGAATCATCTTTTTTATTAGTGGAAGAGGACACTGAAGGATGGACACCAGAGAGAGCTGAGAATAATAATTGTAGTAGTGTCATTGATAGTCCTTCATCAACTGATAGACTGATGGTGAATAATGTAGGGAGAGTTTCTGGGGGAAAGAATAAGAGAATGCAATTATAATTTATAATACACATAACACTTCAATGTAAAAAGTCTTTACATGTACATGTACAAATTTTAATATTAAAAGTTAGGAAATGTTCAACTAGCAGTATTAATGCCACACATTTAAACTTATGTTTATAGAATGGAGCTTCTATGTTGTATTGCAATTCAATACCTTTCCTGTCCATACAGAACAGTTGCCAGTTGCTGGTTCTTGTTTTAGCAATTTCATCGCATAACCTCAACTGCTCAATCTAATGGACACAAAAACAAATAAGTGAATTAACAAACTGTCATATCTCCTCCCTCCCTCCCCCACTCTCCTTCCTCCCTCCCTCTCTCCCTCCCCACTCTCTCCCTCCCCCCTCTCTCTCTCCCCCTCCCTCTCTTCCTCTCTCTTTCTCCTCACCAGTTTCAATAGAGTAGGATATGTAGAATGAAGTAATGAACAAGTTGGATCACTGACATCATATCTCACACCAGCACAAATATCACTACATACAAGTAACAA